TGATACTGAGGCAGCAACAAGCACAACGGTATTAACTACAAAATACATAACAGCCTCAACCTGGAAATCTTTAGCAGTTCCTGATCATTAGCAGTGCGAATGAGATTGAGGGAAAAATTGCAAAACTGGCGAGCTTAGAAAATCAGCAATAGTAATAGTATCCACAACTTAACAAACCTTACGCAAAAGCTCAACGCACTTGAAGAGGCTAAGTTCTCAGTACGACAACACACATGAAGCGACCAAACTCTCGATGCCGCAATGCATTGGAAGCGACCAAACTCTCAATATCGCAGCGTGCTTGCAGCGACCAGCAACACTTTCCCCTTATCCTACTAATCGTTATACTCACTAATGCTCTATTGCGAGAACCATTCTCCCTTATCCTCTCCCTTCCTCAACGCATTCTCTTCTCTTACCCATTTGCTCACTTTCTATCTCCTTCGTTCTAACTTCACTTGACTTATTCTTCCTTCATTTCTTACCTCCTCCTACTTCGTCCAACTTACCTTTCCGCTGACTCCACCATTTTCTCCACCAGTATTTTCCTTAGTGTACATGATCGTAGGTCCAAATCAAGTGCATGTAGTCACAACAGACACCCTGACAGTCACTATTCAATAGTAGGCAAGCGTTGTCACAGACACACAGTGAAGACCTATACTGCAATGACCGCTGTGATGAAGAGCACAACCATCACGACACTGTCCCTCTCCACTACGCATCAAATGTACGAAATAAGAATGAATCTTCCGATAAATCTTGGGTAGATAATTGCCGAATTTTACATTGGGCTAATCGCACAATCTCTTAGTTCCTCCTGCATCGCCAAATCTTTGGAGTAAGTTTTTTTTTTTTTTTTTTTTTTCCTCCCCCTCTCTCTCTCTCACACACACACACATGCACACACACATATGTGCGCGCACCTCTTACCCACTCTTGCACCCAGGCGGAATGATATGTTCGATTGAGAAGCTCTCAATCGGCTAGCATTGCATTCCCCAGTAATACCCTGAATGGCAATTTGAAAACGAATCGGTTGAGAGTTCGGGATGACGCCCTCGCCCATGTTGACGTCGATCGATCCGAAATAAAGTTCCTTAGAATGCCCTTGATTCGGCAGTTTGTAGACGATCGGCCTCTTGAGTCCCAGAAATTAATTGAGTTAAAATCGTACAAACATATGATAAAATAAAAATAAAAATAAAAAGGAAACAAGATAAAAGACCCAATTGTGCTATAAAAGGCAGAAGTATTTGCCTGGATCGAACGGCGAAAATAGTTACCCCCCCCYTTCAGCGGCGGCGTACTCTTGCTTCTTCGGACTRATCTGTGGGGTCAGTTGTTCCCATCAGCAGCGGTGGGCTCTTGCTTGATTGATCCACTCCCACAGGGTGTTCTGGACAGATCAGCAAACGTTCTTCGGSTAGTCCGCTCACARCGGCTATTCTCAGCAGATCAGCAAGYGTACCTTGATTAGCCTGCTCAGACAGGCTGTTCTTGTCAGATYTGCAAAGAACTTTGGCTGRCYCGCTCACARCGGCTATTCTCAACAGATCCGCAAGTGTGTACTTTGATTAGCCTGCTCTGACAGGCTGTTCTCATTCGATCGGCAAAGGGGACTTTGGCTAGCCCGCTCACAGGGGCTATTCTCAGCAGATTATCAAGTGTACTTTGAT